CTTTTTTTTAAAAATTTTGAGACAGGGTCTCATGTAGTTAGTGCACAGTTGCCCAGACTGAGCTCAAACTTGTGATTCTCCTATCTCAGATTCCCAGAGGGCTGGGATCATCATAAGCCTGACCCACACCCCAATTCCCTGTAGTTTTGCCATAAGAAAGACCCCACCAGCCATGTGTAACCCTCAGCAGTGGGCGTCATGAGGTCCTGGACACTTACCGATGTGTCATAGACCACAGACGGAAGCTTTTGACATCTTCATGTGATGTTCAGCGATGCTTTTTTTCTTTTTCTTTTTTTTGCGGGGAGGGTACTGGGGATCGAACTCGGGACCTCGCACTTGCGAAGCAGGTGGCAGCACCCCTGAGCTAAATTCCCAGCCCAGCGATACTTTTCATGTGATCACATAGCACCGTATAGGGGCAGTGAATGCTATATAGGGAGGGCACAGTGCAGGGCTAGCTCCGCCTCCTGTGTGCCAACCACAGTTTATGTTACCCTCTTTTTCTTTTATTATGATGACAATAGGGCCGGGGACTTGGCTCAGTGGTTCTGCCACCCGCCTCGCAAGCGCAAGAGCTCGAAAAAAAAAAAAAAAAAAAAAAAGACAATATATAAATAAAAGGGAAGTTTTGTTACTTGTATACATAACTACATTATGCATTTCAATATGTGGTCTAAGGCAATTCCTCTTCACTCTGTGGGCCCCAGGTAAGCCAAAAGTTTGGACATCCATGCTCTCTGCCACATGGAGCAGGGGTCATAACTTAAATTGGTGACGAAGGGGTTTGAGAAGGAAGATGTTTAGAACAGCTCAGAGTAGACCTAGAAATTGAGAGTCTTTGTGTCCCATACCAACGCTTTGCTAAGGAAGCTTTAGAAGTAAGGAGACAGAGCCATCTGTGGACAAAAGCGAAGCTCCTCCCAGTCAGGACACCGCCTACCCACTAAGGGGCGGAGAAGCTGGACCTGAGGTGCTGAAGGGCTCCCGATGGGCTTCCCCGCAAGGTTGACCTGGCTTGCCACTGTTGAGTGTCCATTTTGTTATTATTTATTATTTGTGTGTGTGTGTGTGTGTGTGTGTGTGTGTGTGTGTGTGGTACTGGGGATCAAACTCAGGACCTTGCACTTGTGAGGCAGGTGCCGCACCACTGAGCTAAATTCCTGGCCCGTTGAGCACCCATTTTAGAAGGAAGTATTATAATGGACTTTAAAAGTGTTTTTTGTAGCCACCTAGTTTTATTTCTTCAATCAACACTGAAGTCCTACCATGCACGTGTAAGACAAGGTCCCTGTTGTCCAAAAAAAGTAAACAAACAAAAAATCCAACTCTAATGAAAATAATTAGAAAGTGACAATACTGGGTAGTAAGGATATCTTTCAATTCCCTATGCTTCCTGTCTATGACGGGCTTTTTTTTTTTTTTTTTTTTTTTTTTTTTTTGAGACAGGGTCTCACTATATAGTTGAGACTGACCTGGGACTCACTATGTAGCCCAGGCTGGTCTCGAACTCACAGTGATGACCCTCATGCCTCAGCCTCCCGAGTGCTGGGATTACAGGCACGCAACATCACACCCAGCATACGATAGTCTATTTCTTTTCTTTCTTTCTTTTTAAATTTAATTTTATCCCATTTTCCCCTCAAGTCCCCTCCACTCCTTATATACAAAAGCTTTGTTTCCATTTTTTCCTCCTAGTTTCACTTTTTTTTCTTGTCCCTTCCTGCCTTTCTCCCTTTCTCCTCCCTTGCTCCCCTTCCCATTTGAACATTTTTTTTCCATTTCTATCACGGTGGGGCAGGGAGTCGACTGCATGGGGAGAAGCCCACAAACGGCTTGGATCTGCCTTCCCCATCAGAAACGCTTTCCCCAGAACAACATGGTCTCTCATACACAGGGGCATCTGCCTAAGGAACTGAGCTCACACTAACCGAGCTCGCACCCCAACAACAGGAGGGGCGCGCCTCTGGGAACAGCAGAGGGTGCTGAGCCGGATGGAAGGCAACAGCGCAAGAGCTGGGATTCCGTTTCTACCGAGAACCAGCAGTCTGGAGATGTCTGGATTCTTCTGAGTTCTTTTTCTGGTTAAGAAAATCAGTCTGTTCTGTTGCTTGCAACCAAAAATTCTAATACAAACACTTTTCTCATTGCGCCATCTATTGGTTGGTTGCTTGGTTTTGTTTCTGGCAAATAAGTTTCCTTTATTAGTTATAGTTTGTTTTTGGTTCTTGGTTCTGGGGATCAAATTCGGATTCTTGCACTTGCAAGGCAAGCAGTGGAACTACTGAGTGAAATCCCTGGCCCTTCCTTTATTAGTTTGTAAGCTTTGAAGTCTGTCCTCATTTCTAATATCTTGGGGTTTCGTACTATACACAGCACTGTATTGTACATAGTGATGTGTTTGTGTATGTGTGTGCGTGTGTGTGATATTTGCAGGCTCTAAACTACATCAGTACTGCAGTGTTTTGTTTTGTTTTTGTGAGATGGGGTCTCATTATGCAGCTCAGGCTGACCTCAAACTCACAGCGATCCTCCTGCCTCAGCCTCTGGAGTGCTAGAATTACAGGCGTGTGCCACCGGGCCCCAGGAGTACCAGATATTTTCATCAACCTTAAGCATTTTTCAAAAACTGACTTAGTAGCCAACATTTTAAATTCAAGAGACTTCATATGAAATCTACATTTCCATATTTTCTTGAAAAATTGAAAGATGCGGGTATTTTAGGTCTGCATTTATATTGCTCCTCTCTTTAAACAAAACGCAGGCACTGTTTTGGGCCAAAGATGTCATCTTGCTCACTTTCATTACTTACCTGGTCCTTGTAGGAATGTAAGTTTGCCAGCTTTGGTACTCAGCTGAATTACAGTGAATAAATAGATTTAGCAACTAGTTCTTTCTCTCTTCTCTTTTGATAGGGTCTTACTACAAAGTTCAGGCTGACCTCTAACTCACTATGTAGTCCAGGATGGCTTCGAACTCTTGGAGATCCTCCTGCCTCGGCCACCCAAAATGCTGAGATGGCAGGCATGTGCCACCAGGCCCGGCAACTGTTTTTCCTTTCTTCATTTTATTTGTTTTGGGGTTTTTTTTGAGACAGAGTCTCACTATGTAGTTGAGACTGACCTGAGCTCACTATGTAGCTCAGGCTGGTCTCCAGCTCACAGCAATTCTCCTGCCTCAGCCTCCCAAGTGCTGGGATTACAGGTGTGCACCACCACCAGGCCCAGCTTTTAAAATTTTAGTAGTGCTTATTAGTTATACAAAATAGTGGGTTTCATTTAGCACATTTGTATATGTATATAACATATACTTTGTCCTCCCTTCCCTTGGGCATTAGTTTATTATTATTATTATTATTATTAATTTTTTGGTATCAGGGATGGAACTCAGGACCTTGTGCTTGTGAGGTAGGTGGGGCACCACTGAGGTAAATCCCCGGCCCCCAAAAGCCATTTTTTCCCTATTATTTTTCTTTAAATTATTTTGGATGTCACATACCTCCGTAAATATTTATGTGTTTATAATCTTATCCCTTCCGCTAATCTTGGCCACTATGAGTCCCCCGATCGGTGTGTGTACCCGGAATCTCGCTACCACTATTAGTGCCTGGGCCAAGCGGAGACCTGGTGACTAGTCAGGTAAACAGAGTCACTCCCCGCAACACAGAGCGCTGCGAAGTGCGTTTTAGTGGGAGGCATCTTTCCACAGCAGAGGAAGGCGCTGGTGGGTCCCGGCGTCTGTCCGCGGCTTTCCGGGTGCGGACTCGGAGCAACAAGCGCCGGAGTGATCCTGCTTCCCGGCCGGGAGCCCGGGGTGTGCTCCTGGCGTCCCCGAGAAGTGGGTCTTGGGATCAGTTTCATGACTCCCTGGAACCCAGCTTTCGGAGTTTCACATTTCTGGGGGCCGCCTCCCCGCCTCACAGCTGATTTCTCCCGTCGCCGGCGCTGCCCAGCGCCCCCGTCGCTCGGGTCGCCTCTCTCCGCGTCACCTTTTCCAGCATCAGTTTCCCCAAGGGGGCGGGGGTGGTATCTGGGGACTCCCGAGCCTTCCTGTCCCAGTCGGAGGCGGGGAGACGTAGCGGGGAGGCTCCGGCGAGTAGGCCTTTCGCGCCCCGAGGCTCCCGGCTGGGGATGAGGGTCTCGCGGTCGCCGTCCGACTCAGCCGCGCCGAGG